CCGAAATGTCTAGTATATTTACCAAAAAATTATGTCAACGGTATGCCATTGATGGTCATTCTTACTTTCTTAAAAATTTTATACTCAAAACTTGTTAAAACAAACCATTTTCAACAAAACTTCGTTTCCAAAAATTTCTTGTTCATAAATATTTCTTCATTTTCTTTTCAGTACAAACGAGTGGGAGTAGCGAAAGACACAGATTAACAATTTTTTAAAGCATTGTGGCGATGCGATAGACGAATAATTTTTAGATTTTGAGTTTGGTATGTAAAAAAGAGGACTTTTTCAATGCGTAAGAGAAAAGAGGACAGTTCTCTGGAATAGAGGACGGTTGGCAATAGAGGTGGGAATTCTAGTTCCTTGGGAGGAACTAGTTCCTTAGTTCTAGTTCCTCCAGAGGAATAGTTCCTTGAACTAGGTCTTTAGTTCACAATAGTTCCCAACTAACATTGACATCCCCCTTGCTTGCTAATGCGTTTCGTTGTCAGTCAGAACTATTCACAGTATGATCTGTATAATTTTTATAATGTACGGAGATATAACGAGACGTGTAATTGTGTATGTTAAAAACATATAGGTAAGTTTTATTGCAGATAAAAAAGAATAAAAAAAAATCAAATCAGAATTTAAAAAACTATATCATAAATCAATTGGAGCAAATATTACAAAAAATTTACGAAAAATTGCATTTTTCCGCACTTCAAGCTTTTTTTGTCTAAAAATTCAGAATATCTACTTCGTTTTATAAGATATTTCTTAATTTTAGGGACCTACAGTGAAACATTCCCATAAAATATTTAAAAAACAAACTAAAAATCAAAAACAGTATCCACGACAATTTTCTGTGGTAATTACGCCGCGCCGGCTGCGGCAATAGACAAGGCCGAATCCATCGTCATCGCCTTGTATTATATCTCGGATGTCGACTGAATAGATTCCCGTGAACTAGTCTTTTAATAGTTACTCTATGTCCGGATCCGATAACATACGGCTCGCACTCCCCACGCCTGCCTAGCATAAATCGCGCTGGCTGATCCATACGTAAACTAGTCTTTTATTTAGTTCCTCTAGTTCCTTTAGGTCCGGATCCGATAACATACGGCATAAGGCTGGCACTCCCCGCTCCTGCCTATCATCGATCGCGCTTGCCCGATCGCATCGGTTCGTACGCAAACTAGTCTTTTATTTAGTTTAGTTCTTAGTTCCTCTAGGTCCGGATCCGATAACGTACGTCTGGCACTCCCCACTCCTGCCTACCATCGGGCTACGCGCGCTAGCCGATCCGTCGCCGTCGCATATTATTCTATATCGGGCACAGTCTCGATCCCGGAATAGGTCCTGAGGAACTAGTCCTTTGAGAAGCCAGGAACTAGTTCCTTTCATTCCGGGGTCGGAATAGTTCATTGGAACTAGTTCGTTCACGAACTACACACCTCTAGTTGGCAACCCTAAAAAAACACGTACAAAATTCATCACAGATCTTCAATACGCTGATGACTGTGCTCTAGTTGCAAATACGTTACAGCAATTGCAAGAAATGTTGAACACATATACATGGGCATACGAGGCTTTGGGACTTAAGCTGAACACCGATAAAACTAAAATCATGTGCACTCCCTCGGAAGATCACAACAATGCTATAAAAATCGGAGAAGAACTATTGGAATATGTAGCGGAATTCAATTACCTCGGCAGTTGATTTTGGAAATATCGACTCTGAAATTCAGCACAGGATTAGCGGCGCCTCAAGAGCATTCTGGAAATTAAAAGACAGGGTTTTATACAATCATGACTTGAACACAAAAACGAAACTTGCAGTGTACCGAGCAATAATAATTCCGACCATGTTATATGGAAGCGAAACCTGGGTGCCGTACCGCCGACACGTGAACGCACTAAATCAAGTTGCAACAGAGACATCTTAGACAACTCTCAAATGGTTCCATCATGTCTCAAACGTATCGGTCCTTGAAAAAGCTAACTGCGAGAGTATCGAAGTCATGGTTACAAAATCCCGCTTAAAATGGGCTGGTCATGTATGCAGAATGCAAGAAAACCGCATACCAAAATATCTGCTTTACGGTGAGCATGTAGACGGTAAGAGGAGGCCGGGTGGACAACTCAAAAGGTTCAAGGATATTTTCCACGAAAACTTAAAAGGAATTAACAAGCAGAATGAGTGGGAAGAGGCAGCTCACAATAGAACGGAATGGAGAAGAATTGTAAAGTCAGTTAACAGCGATAACCAAAAAGTAAAGGGGCAACAAAGCAATGAGATTTTTGAATGTCCAAAGTGCGGTAGACAGATAACATCACGTATCGGGCTTTTCAGTCACAGAAAAGCTCATGAAAGAAAACGCCTTGCGTGACCATCTTCTGATGCGTGTCAAATACTAGTCAGCGAGTAATGGCAGTATGTATATATGTATGTATGTTGAAAGACATAGATTAACAATTTTTTAAAGAATTGTGACAATAGACGAATATTTTTTAGAATTATAGTTTGGAATGTAAAAAAGAGGACTTTTTCAATACGTGGGAGAAAAGAGGACAGTGAGAGCAAAAAGAGGACTGTCCTCTGGAGTAGAGGACGGTTGGCAACGAGTATATTATCCCTGTATATGATCTACCGGGTTGTGCATTGTGGCTGGAAACATAGGAGATCGCATGCAAATTTTAAACTGTCCATTTATTGACTCCTCTCTTAATTTTACAGCCAAGATGTAAATAGGTTTTTAAAAAGTTTGTGTATGCTGAATACACATGCCGAATTTGAACAATTTTGGACAAGCCGATTTTAAGTAATTTAAGAAAATTTGCATCTATTTTTAAATTAAAACTAAACAGGTAACAATGCAAACCCAGGCAAATGTCAACCTTAAGTTTAGAATATATCAAAAACAATATGAAACAAAATAATTTATAACTAGTAACTTACTAAGCTTAGATATCCAAAAGGATACGCCAAACTATCAAATTAATATTCACTTAGAAAAGCAGATACGTCGCTTATCACAACCATATCTCACTAAATTTAGGGCAAACCCGAGTATATTAATAAATCAACATGTAGTATCTTTTCACCTAGCTTTAATGTCAACAAATAGATAGTAATACATGCCATACAAAGTACCTAAAATTAGGAACAACATAAAGTTTTGGAAATTCTTTTCATTACCTTTTAGAATAGAATCTATTAGTTTCAATTTTTTATATTATAAAATTTACATACCGACTTGAGTCATCGAAACTGTGCGATCCGGATTTTAACGTGGATGTAGATAGCTTAATGGAAAATTAAAAGTATTAAAAAGAGATACAAATTGGGTCGACACATTTTTTTCTATGCGGTATTACCGGATTCTGCATCAAAATTTCAAACCGCACAAGTAGGCCTTTACGAAAAATGTTGCATCTAGGGTTGGAACTTTATTTTTCACTATTAGTTACTCATTTTACTACAGCTGTAATAGATTATATTTAGTTTAGATATATTATCATCATTTCAGTAGTATACATGAAAGTTTTTAAAATAACTTATATTTTTCTTACACACATTTTCCTACAAACGTAAAAAACCGGCAACACTGTATGCAGCTTTTCATTTTGCCTCTCTGTCTATCAACCGGTCATTTATATTATTCTCTGTCATACTCTTTAAAATCCAGACCACATAAATTGGATGACCAGCAGGGTATATCGTGTTAAAGATAAAAATATTTTGAATCTAATTATGTTGGAGATTTTTATTTTCAGATAGTTTAAGATTATTTTTTAGCAAGAAAAATAACAAGAAATTAAGATTTCAATTGATTTTACTCTGTGAAAAGCTCTAACATAAAATACTGAGAAATATTAAGATAAAAACATTCTCAAAAATCGATTTTCTTAAAGTAGATTACATATATTATGTCAATTAAAAAACAAATTAATAAAATAAATAAGAATTAAATTAAACTTGATACAATTAAATATAAAAAATATAGTTTTTAAGTTTGTTCCTTATAGAACAAATAGATCTGTTCATCGATTAATCCTCTCAAAAGTTATTTAATATATTTTTCAGGAAAAAAATGTAATCCAAACCCATTTCAAAGTAATATTTTACTTTAACTCAATTAAAATAAATACTGCAATTAATGTAGTGCTTCTTTGAGTCAACTTAATGTAAAAACAACAAACGCCAGTTAAAATCGATTTTAAACATGCTATATAAAAATATTCTTAAAGTCTAATTGATAAAAAAGTGTTTAAGAAGCTCTCCTTTTTATGGAGACGTTCCCTCTGGCCAGATGCGATATGAAAAACCTCAACTCTCCCCATTTTGCTTTTTGACGTAGATACAATCATTTCCCACTGCAGATATGGTCGCAGGAGTTTTTGGCTGACCCTTGCCCTCAACGAAAATGGACTGACCCCTGTGAAACCATCTCTTTTCGTACAACTTCCCGTCCTCTATCCTCGTCTCTATCAAGGTCTGGTGGTCTCCGAAGTTTTGTACACCCATGTTGCCGATTCCGTGGTTTGGGCTTCCCATTGAACTCTCGTTGAGCCTCCTCATCGAGAAGGTTACCTCCTTGATTTGTCTGAGGTCCGTCTCGATCTCTTTCTCTTCGAGAAGGTAGGTTATCTGTGCAGCGGGAGCTTTCCTGCGTTTTTCTGGAAGAGGGATAGGTTCGTTAGGCCTTCTTCTAAGCTTTCTCGTCATAGCTGGCTTCACCTCCATGGAGTCACCAATTAGTTCAATAGAGGATCTTTCTGCCTCGATGTTTCTTTTCTTATCCTCCAGATCTGATATAAGGTTTTCCCTCAAGTCTATTTTTTTTTCTAATAAAGTCCAACATATATCCCTTGTCAATTTCGTTGAGTCTGAATCTTTCGTGGTATTGCATTTCTAACATCTTGATGCGTTTGTTGTACTCGTCGTGAGTTCCTCATTCAGTTGGGCTAGTTTCTTCTTGAGCATGATAACCTTGTCCTAAAGTATTTACGTATTAATTTCCAGATGTTCTTGTTGGCTATCTGTGTCCGTATTGCCTGACATATTTTCTATTGTTTAGTATAATTAATGAAGAATAGAAACAAAGAATTTCAAATATATTCCTTTAGTTAAGTAACTATTATATTATTTTAGAGAAATAGGTAAAATATGGTTTCTCGAGTAAAACTGTAATGTAAAATGCATTTAATGAATAGCTTCATTTTACTGCAATTGAATTAAAACAAACTTAGCAAATGTGCAATGATTCATTGAGTCAGCTTAATGTAAAAATAACTAACGTCTTTTAAAATCGATTTTAAACTAAAATACATGCTATCTAAATATATTCTTAAAGCCTAATTGATAAAAATTGTTTTAAGAAGCTCTTCTTTTTATGGAAACGTTCCCTCTGGCCAGATGCGATATGAAAAACCTCAAACTCTCCCCATTTTGCTTTTTGACGTAGATACAATCATTTCCCACTGCAGATATGGTAGCAGGAGTTTTTGGCTGATCCTTGCCCTCAACGAAAATGGATTGACCTCTGTGAAACCATCTCTTTTCGTACAATAACTTCCCGTCCTCTATCCTCGTCTCTATCAAGGTCTGGTGGTCTCCGGAGTTCTGTACACCCATATTGCCGATCCCGTGGTTTGGGCTTCCTAATGAACTCTCGCTGAGCCTCCTCATCGAGAAGGTTACCTCCTTGATTTGTCTGAGGTCTGTCTCGATCTCTTTCTCTTCGAGAAGGTACGTTATCTGTGCAGCGGGAGCTTTCCTGCGTTTTTCTGGAAGAGGGATAGGCTCGTTAGGCCTTCTTCTAAGCTTCCTCGTCATAGCTGGCTTGACCTCCATGGAATCACCAGTTAGTTCAATCGAAGATCTTTCTGCTTCGATATTTCTTTTCTTATCCTCCAGATCTGATATAAGGTTTTCTCTCAAGTCTATTTTCTTTTCTTCAAAGTCCTTCGCAGCGGCTTTCAATTCTTGAGCGTAGTCCCTCTTGATGAAGTCCAACATGTACTCCTTGTAGATTTCGTTGAGCCTGATCCTTTCCTGGTACTGGGTTTCCAGCTTCTTAACTCGTTTGTTGTACTCATAGTGAGTCCCGTCCTTGAGTTGGGCGAGTTTCTTCTTGAGGTTGGCCAGTTTGTCCTGGTACATTTGCTCTTTGATCTCGAGCTGTTCCTCCTGGCGGCCTGTGTCGGTTTCGCTGGCATCTTCGGTGTCTTCGTCGCTTTCTTCGAGGTGGTGATGGTGATCGTCGTGGAACTTGTCCTCGTCGTTATCGAGTTTGTCGTCGTCGAAATCGTACTCGTGATTGTTAAAGGAATTTGACAGTGGGGACCCCAAGAATGACATTGTCTCGCGACGTTCCAGTACACACTAGAAAGAAAATAATTTCGTTACCAATTTTGTTTTGACTGGTTAAAAAAACTAATCTATTTAAAAAATCTAGATAAATTATTGGATACCTATTGTTCGGACTAAAATTTAGACATAAGAATTTTTTTCTGTTTGTACGGAACATTTTAATTCATTCTTTTATGGGGTCCCACTCTACCAAATCTATAATTTTATTTCAGTTTTTTTTGTACCATTGAAACCAATACCAATAGAAAATGTTAATATACTGTTTATACTAGTTAGTAGGTTTGCACATTACTAGTCATAAGTGTAATAACTAATATATAGGTCATCGACAAACAAGTAGATTGTATTTTCTGTCATATTTTAAATGGGGCATGTTGAAATCAGATATTCTCGCGCAGGACGCACTATACATATCTTTTTTTGCCTGGGTACGAGGGTCAACGAAAAGGCAGATGAAAGGGCCAAGCAAGGCTCATCAATGCCATTTATAGGCCCAGAACCCTTCTGCGGTCTTGCAAAAGCAGTCACGAGAATGGCCACGGAACGATGGGTGGCCAACAAATCTCTAGAATGGTGGAGAAACTCACCAAAGCAGAGACAGGCGAAAAGTTCATTGTAGAGCTGATTCACGGTAGACCTAATAAGCAAGGACAGAAAGACAGCCAAACCTGTAGTGGGTCTACTAACAGGGCTAAGTCTACTAAGTAAGCTGAATAGGCATCTAAAGCTAATGGGATTGACGCACGTGTGTAGGTTCTGCCAATCTAAAGAAGAAACGGCAGAACACATTTTATGTCGGTGCGACAGACTGGAAAATGTGCAGTTCTCCAAGAAAAGGAAATAGGCGAAAAAACCTTATATCAGATCTGGAGGACAAAAAAAAGAACATCGAAGCAGAAAGATTTTCCATTGAACTAACTGGTGACTCTATGAAAGTGGAGCCTATCCCTCTTTCAGAAAAACGAAGGAAAGCACCCGCTGCACAGATAACCTACCTTCTCAAAGAGAAAGAGATCGAGACAGACCTCAGACAAATCAAGGAGGTAACCTTCTCGATGCGGAGGCTCAGCGAGATTTCAATAGGAAGCCCAAACCACGGGATCAGCAATATGGGTGTACAGAACTCCGGAGATCACCAGACCTTGATAGAGACGAGGATAGAGGACGAGAAGTTGTTGTACGAAAAGAGATGGTTTCACAGAGGTCAGTCCATTTTCGTTGAGGGCAAGGATCAACAAAAAAAACTCCGGCCACCATATCTGCTGTGGGAAATGAGCGTATCTACGTCAAAAAGCAAAATGGGGAGGGTTTGAGGTTTTTCATATCGCATCTGGTCAAGGGAAATCTCTATAAAAAAAAGAGCTTAATTTTTTTTTATCAGTAAGACTTTTAAGAATATTTTTATGTGGCATGTATTTTAGTTTAAATCGATTTTTAAAGTCGTTTGTTATTTTTACATTAAGCTGATTATTGAGTCATTGGAATCATTGCACATTTGCAAAGTTCAGGATCTTTACTACCAGAAATCAACAGAAGAATTAAAAGACCATGCATGGAGTACATAACCTGGAAGAAGCTCAATCGTATTCAAATATAATGCCACTTTATTTTAGTTAAGAAGAAAACTGTACTAACAGTCATGAGTTGACCTATGCAGGCGAAACCTGGACACTTAAAACGGACATCATAAGAAAACCGCAGGTCGCACAACGATCAATGGAACGAAATATGCTGGGAATAACTAAGAGAGACCATAAAATAATACAGTGGATACGACAAAAGACCCAGGTAAGATGTCAACCACAGATTCAAATCCCTCAAGTGGCAATGGGCAGAACACCTGGCAAGAAGGACGGACAACAGATGGACCACAAACATTACAGCATGGTACCCACAAGGAATTAAGTGACCTAGAAGAAGACCGAACCTGAGATGGGACTAAGATATTAGGAAATTAGGGATAACTTGGGCCCGCACAGCCAAAAATGGGCCCAACTACAAAGAGAGTATCTAAATATGTGAGGGAGGCTACATCATAATTGGAAATGGTTGAATAGGCTGGAAATGATGATATTGATACAAATGAATTAAAAACACGAAAAAAAATAATAAAGCAGTATTTCTACCGGGTGTTGCATCGTCGTGCGGGACATAGGAAATCCCATGTAAATTTTAATGGGGTCAATTATTGGCTTCCCTAATTATTTTAGAGAATAATTCTATTTAGGTTTATTGAAGAGCACTAAAACCCACATTCAAAAGAATAACTTTAGATATTTTTGATTAGCCCGTTTACGAGTTATCGCCGATTTCTTTTTAAATATTTCTCCTTTCTTATGGCCTTGTATTTACTTATGAGCACCAGTCAAGGTAAAAGATAACTGTCAAATGAAGTTGTCATTTCAGAAATTTATCTATTTAGTGCTTTATTATTATTATTAAAAACTCATACCTACATCGAAAATATTAGCCATGAACTATAGCCATGACACTATCGAAGAGAAAAAAAAAGTATTGATGATTAAATGGTATTATCAAGGAAATAGTTATCAAAAGGTGTCGGACATATTTGCTGCTCTGTATCCGAATAGACCGATACCTGGAAAATCTACAATCGCAAGGAATATCCAGAGATTTGAGATCAAAGGTACCCTAATAAATAACTGCAGATGTGAAGCAAGGCAGGAACAAAGAGAAGATGAAAACCAAATCATACCGACTTGAAAGTATTATTGTGCGTGGAAGAGAACGATGGAAAGATCAGCACAAGGAAACTTGAGGATGAAATAGGAATAGATCACACTACAGCGTTTCGAATTTTGAAACGACATAAATACTATTCCTTCAAATATGAAAAGCACCAAGAACTACGAGATGGGGACGAAATACAGCGGCAGGCGTTTTGTTTTGATATGATGGAAAGAGCAAACACGGATGGGGAATTTTTAAAAAACATGTTTCACTGACGAATGCACGTTTACCTTAAATAACCCAATATTCAAAATTATCGATATTGGAACAAAGAAAACCAACACAGGTTTGTCGAAACAAGGACGCAATATCCAAAGAGAGTAAATGTTTGGGCAGGGATATTCGGACACAATATTATCGGGCCATTATTTCTTACGCGAAATTTAAATGCAGAATATTATTTGGAACTACTCGAAAATCATATTTTACATGATGCCGCTAGGGAAAATCAGGAAGTTTGGTACCAAATTGATGGCTACCCGGCACATAGTACCCTGGCTGTTCGGGAATATTTAGACAATAGTTTTAACGGAAACGTTATTGGAATAAATCATACAGTAAATTGTCCAGCAAGGTCTCCTGCTATTTCGCCAAATGATTTCTTTCTCTGGGGCCATTTAAAAAACAGGATATACAAGGATAAAAAATACCCAAATCTAGACGAATTAAAAAATGCTATTTCTGCCGAATGCAATAGAATTTCAGTTTACTAACTAGCGAATGTAAAAAGAGAATTTTATGATCGCCTGGGTTATTGTCTAGCAGTCGATGGAGGAATATTTGAACGTCTTCTTAAATCCTAAAGTTCTAACAATTTAATAGTACCTAAATTAATAAGTTATTGAATATTGTAATAATACTATAATTAACCTTGTAATTGATTACTTTATTTTACTTTAATTCATATTAATTTGTATTTATAAATACATCTTTAAGATTTGCGATGTAGGAATGAGTTTTCAATAATAATAAAGCACTAAATAGGTAAATTTCTGAAATGACAACTTCATTTGACAGTTATCTTTCACCTTGACTAACATTGGGTTCATTATTTAAGGTAAACGTGCATTTGTCAGTGAAACATATGTTTTTTTAAAAATTCCCTATTCGTGTTTGCTCTTTCCATCATATCAAAACAAAACGTCTGCCGCCGTATTTCGTTTCGTAGCTCTTGGTGCTTTTCATATTTCAAGGAATAGTATTTATGTCGTTTCAAAATTCGAACGCTGTAGTGTGATCTATTCCTATTTCATCCTCAAGTTTCCTTGTGCTGATCTTTCCATCGTTCTCTTCCACGCACAGTAAAACTTCCAAGTCGGTATCATTTCTTGCATCTTCTCTTTGTTCCTGCCTTGCTTCACATCTGTAGTTATTTATTAGGGTACCTTTGGTCTCAAATCTCTGGATATTCCTTGCGATTGTAGATTTTCCAGGTATCGGTCTATTCGGATACAGAGCAGCAAACATGTCCGACACCTTTTGATAACTATTTCCTTGATAATAACATTTAATTATCAATACTTTTTCTTCGGTAGTGTAATTCATGGCTAATATTATTTTTCGATGTAGGTATGAGTTTTTTAATAATAATAAAGCACTAAATAGATAAATTTCTGAAATGACAACTTCATTTGACAGAGTTATCTTTACCTTGACTGGTGCTCATAAGTAAATACAGAGCCATAAGAAAGGAGAAATATTTAAAAAGAAATCGGCGATAACTCGTAAACGAGCTAATCAAAAATATCTAACGTTATTCTTTTGAATGTGGGTTTTAGTGCTCTTCAATAAACCTAAATAGAGTTATTCTCTAAAATAATTAGGGAAGCCAATAATTGACCCCATTAAAATTTACATGGGATTTCCTATGTCCCGTCCGACGATGCAACACCCGGTATACCTTCGAATTAAAAAATGACAAATAAAGTGTATATTAAATAATTAAATATAGATGAATTTTAAAATTAATATAAATAAAATAAAAAATATAGCTTATTCATTCATTATAAACTTAATAACATCACATATTTCTCCTCATTTTCATTCAACAAAGTATAATGCAAACGTTTCACATTCCAGCCACGTTAAAATCACTACCAAGAGCTTCCACTTTTCTTAATTATTATTATCTTCTATGCTAATATGTTGCTTAGTAGAAAAAAAAGCTATTTTGAAAAAACAGGCAAACCGCAATCCAGTTAAGACATAGCCGCAGGCAAGGACATAAGAATGTTGTTGCGCACTTGACGTGTTGCCGCTTCTAGCACATTCTCCTAATATAGTCGTATTGAACTTTCTAGTTTGTACAGGAGCAATTCAATGCGAGACGGACAATACAAATAGGCGTATTGTCTGAGTTTACAGCGGTATTACAAAATAAATACATTCTACTTCTAAATCTATAAGCAAATTTTAAGAAACAGGATATCTCATATCTTTGACCATTCTCAGATATTCAATAAACAAAATTCACCTCCTAGAAAAGGTTGTTGATGGTCAAACTGAAAAAAAAATACTATTGTAGCTCCTGTAGATAAATACCAATGACCAATGACTAAAGAATACAGGACCAGTAACACCCGAGACCAAATTAATTGTTACCATTTGTCTCCAATCAGTGCCGTGCCAGAAGGTTAATATAAAAAATGCAGAATTACATAAAAATTGGAATTTTAATTGTTTCACAAATATTTCTTGTTCGGACAGTTACAAAATTTAATTCAATGCTTATTGTTACGCTTATTAGATTTATTTAGTTTTGAATATAGGTATTACGGTAAATTGTTAGTCTTCTTCAAAAGCGAATATCTCCACCAAAAAATAGGTTACTGACATGATTAAAAAATAAATTACAGAGAAAAGGTACACCTTGCTGATAAACTGGTTTTTGAATTCCTTACTTTGTTAAACCTGTCCGCAGGGTGTTTCCAACTTACGCCAAAAGAACATTTTGTTTTCCCTCGTATAATGTATAATAATAGACAGATAGTACTGCTATACAGGGTGGTCCGAACTGTATTCCGCAAACTTCGGAAGCATATTTTTCAGATAAAAATAAGTAAAAATGTTCGTATAAATGTACGTCCTAAAATGCTTAGTTTCGGAGATACAGGGTGTAGTTTCATTTTAATTTTGATTTTTACCAAATAATTTCTGAAATAACGCCAATATTTAGATGAAAATCATGGGTGTCTGGGAGTTTTTTGACATAAGAAATTTGATTTTGATGTTAATATGACTCCTATTTGTAAGATGCTGTTTTAACTGTTTTGAAGGATAATAACTTTTCGTCCGTACCTTTATAAAACTACTGAATGAAAAAATATACATTTCCGGGATTTTATACGCAAAAAATGTCTCTTTTTTACCAAGCGACATTTTCGAGACAAAAAATCGCTACGAACAAACGTTCCCAAGATATTTAGAATGGAAATAGTCAATACATGTCATTATTGACAAAAAATAAACATGTTGAGTGGATAGTTATTTGACTGAAATGATACATTTGGGAACTTTTTATTTTTTAAACCTGTTGAACTTTTGGCTCAAAAATCTTTCAAAT